TAGGAACAAGAAGCTACTAGGGGCTCCTGGCCTTACTACTAGGAGCATGGACGCTACTAGGAGCAAATCGCTACGAGGAACCCTGGCCTTACTACTAGGAGCAAAGGGCATCGCTACTAGGAGCAAAGGGCATCGCTACAAGGAACAAGAAGCTACTAGGGGCTCCTGGCCTACTGCTAGGAGCAAGGCGCTACTAGGAGCCAAGGGCATCGCTACTAGGAACAAGAAGCTAGTAGGGGCTCCTCGCCATACTACTAAGAGATCTAAGAGCCAGGACGCTACTAGGAGCAAAGGGCATCGCTACTAGGAACAAGAAGCTACTGGGGGCTCCTGGCCTTACTACTAGGAGCAAGGACGCTACTAGGAGCAAAGGGCATCGCTACTAGGAACAAGAAGCTACTAGGGCTTCTGGCCATACTACTAGGAGCAAGGATGCTACTAGGAGCAAAGGGCACCGCTACTAGGAACAAGAAGCTACTAGGGGCTCCTGGCCATTCTACTAGGAGCAAGGACGCTACTAGGAGCAAAGGGCACCGCTACTAGGAACAAGAAGCTACTAGGGGCTCCTGGCCTTACTAGGGGCAAGGACGCTACTAGGAGCAAAGCGCATCGCTACCAGGAACAAGAAGCTAGGAGCAAGGACGCTACAAGGAGCAAAGGGCATCGCTAACGCTACTAGGAGCAAAGGGCATCGCTACTAGGAACAAGAAGCTACTAGGGCCTAGGGGCGCCTGGCCTTACTCCCAATAGACTGAGAACGTCTATTTTCAAAAATAGACGTAAAAAATAAACTATTAACTTATTTTCGTTATTTTTTTACCGAAAACAAATTAACGAATTTTTGGAAATTTCGTTAAAAAAGTTATCTTAATTTCGTCTATTTTTATCGAAACAATTAACGAAATTTCGTTAAAAATAGACGCATTTTTTAACGTATACTCTTATTTATGCGGCGATTGCAAACTAGAAGTTTCATAGAAGTTTCTATCAAACTTCTAGTTTGCAAGTAGAACTTTGATAGAACTTTTGTAGAAGTTTTGTACGTCAATTCTAGTTGAAAACTAGAAGTTTGGTAGAAGTTTTGCACTTGTATTTTCTGAGGTCAGCATGTGTATTCGCAGCCACTTCTCTGTGTATTTGCAGCCATTTCTCAAATATTGTACTGTGGTGGTTTGTTGTTATTGTGTTTGTGAAGTTGGAACCATGTACACTTATTATGGGGGAATGTTCATGTTGAGCGCTTTTGTTGAGAGGAGTGACTTGACAGAGACAGAGAGGACAGTTGAATTTGGCATACTTGTGTTTGGAGAGATGTTGAGAGATGTGGAGAGGACAGTTGAATTTGGCAGAATTAGGTTTGGAGAGAGGTTGAGGGAGTGAACATCTTCTTGACAGAGAGCGTTTTGCTGTGGAGAGTTGTGGAGAGTTGTTGATTGTTTGAATTTGAATCACTGATCATGTCATGTCAGATGATTGTCGTGTTCATCTTTGTCAGATGCATTTCCTCTGAAGACGGATCAAGGCCCCAAGAGTTTGGATCTGAAAACATCACCATTCATTCTTCACATTCCTGGTTGGTGTATAATAGCCAGTGGTGGTGGTGAGTCCGTTGGTGCTTCAACCACTGTTGTTTTTTGAGCAAATGGCTACTTGAGTGTATCTGTTCATCAGAACTTGCTGCTGCCGTGCCTTGCTTCAACATGTCAGCTGCTGCTTCGTCATCATTGGTTGCAAAGACTTTTCCATCGTCATCGCGCTGTCGCTTGAGAGCTGACCCTGCAATCGCTACCAGTGATTTGATGGAAGCGTTCAAAGAGCTGTTTGTGAAGGAGGACTCAAGGATACTCAAGGGATATTCGCAAGATCTTGAGTCCTCCGCCAGACATGGACTGGAAGTCCACACCACAGTACAAATGGCTAGCGCGTCTCAGCCCTTTTTCATGAAGCTTCTGCACTGTTCTGACCAGTAGGAAGGTGAAGGATGCTATTATCCGGCTTCACGAAGAAGGGCCTGTCAACATGACAAGGAAGGATGATTCAGAGCTGTGGGATTGGGTAGATACGAAGATCAGAATTGGCATGTCCCAACTTCGTGACCTCAAGAACAATGTGCATGGATGCCTCGATCGTGCTCACAAAAAGGCTACTTCAGAGGAGAGGAACAAGTTGTGTGAGTTGATGAAAAGGGTCAACTTGTTCAAGGAGACAGGTGGTTCTTCAGAAGACCTTGGTCATCATACCGAGTCGACTGCTCTTGTCGTCCATGATCCTACTACTACGGCCACTCCTTCATCATCGTCACCTGTTTCGAAATCCAAGAAGAAAGGGAATGAGGAACTTTTTTCTTCATCGCCTAGAACAGTGTTTGAGAGCATCTTGAAAAAGAAGAATGTTCGTTCGTTGGATTCAACCACATCTTCTGATCCATGGACCCCAACCAAGATGAAGAAGAAGAAGAAGGAAAAGAAGACAAGAAGAAGGCTCAGCTATGATGATGAGGAGGAAGATAGTGGCAAGGATGAGGGTGGTGATGCTGTCATCAAGATCCTCCCCGCTGGCCACAAGATCATCAAGGAGAGAAACAACAAGGGGAAAGCGTTTGATTCTTCTCAGCCATCCCTTTTTGACAACTTGTTGAGCATGATGGACGGTGATTCTTCGCGATAAAAAGAAAAAAAAGAGAAGGCAGAAGAAGAGGAGGTCAAGAAGTCAAAGAAGCAGAAAAGGACACAAGAAGACGACGACTTCGACTTCCAAGATGATGGGTTTTATGACGACCTTTCTCCTGTTCCTATGCTTGCACATTCTGTGGAATAAAATTATTGCAATCTTGATACGTTCAGAGTTGTGAGATTGAGAGTTGTTGAGAGTTGTTGAGGGTTGTTGAGAGGCGAGTTGGTTCTGTTGTGTTGGTTTCTTTGTCTTGTTTCTTGCTTTTTATTGATGACCGCAACAACTAAGGATGAAAGAAGGATCTTGAAGATGTCCAAAGAGGCTGACCCTGTGAATGCCAACGCCAACCTCACTTTGCGCAAGAAGTTGAACATGGCAAAGAAAAAACAACAAGCAAAGAAAAACAATGGTAAAAAAGGAAAGGCCGCAGAAGAGGAAGAGCAGAAGAAGGTGAACCAAAGTGGAGCAGCAGGGTCGAAAGATGGCAGCAAGAAGAAGAAGAAGAAAAACAAAGAGAAGAATGCGCAGAAGAAGAATGATGGCGGCGATGCTTCTACGAATCCAAGAGGAAGTGATGATGCGAACAACCAAGCAAACAGGTTCGAGTTGTCGACAGCCAAAAAGAACAGTAGTAGTGCAAAGGTTCTGAAGAGGCCATCATCTGCGCCACCATCCACTTCGGTCGAGAAGAACGAGGGTGATGTGAAGAAGAAGAAGGAGGATGAGGATGATGATGGTGAAGACAGTGATGACGGCCAAGGATGGACTTCAGAGATTCGTTCGAAGAAGCGAAACACAATTACCAGCCGTGCGTACCACCAGGTTTTTGACAAGTTCAGACCGAGGAAGAGCGCAGGGGTTTTCCCTGGGAGTGCAGCATGGGCCAGGATGATAAAGGATGCCAAGGCCAGGGCGCGGTGTGCGCACAAAGAAGCTGGCCAAAAGTTCGATCAAAAGCATCCACGAACATCGGTTGGTGTTGCTGAAAAGAAGCGGAAGGCCAAGCAAAAGAAGAAGAGTAAGACGACTGGTGAGGAAGGCGAGGAAGAAGAAGAACAAGAAGAACATGCACATAGTCCTATAGATGTAGATTAGGCCGATCTTGTCATGAAGGCGCCCTTGGAAAAATCTATGCGCACAACACAGCCTCAAGGCTTGTTGTATTTGACTCTACTGTAACAGTCAAGAGTAGTAACCTCTTGATTCTTCAATCTAGGAACACATGTGTTTGACTCTGCTTCAAGGCTTGTGCCATTTGATTACGCTAAGATTTGCAGAGTGTTGAGAAATTACTTTGGAATATGTTTTGAGGGATGTTGAGAGATACTGTTGAGAGCGTAAGGTTTTTGCGATTGTATTTCGGGCTGCTGAGAGAGTTTGACTGTCAGTGCGTTGAGAGATGTTGAGGATGATGGTGAGAGAGTTTTACTGTGGAGAGAGTTTTGAGAGCGGTTGAGAGAGTTGGAAGTTAGAGTTGTGAGACTCTTTTATGTTTGTCACGGTTCATATTGCGCTGATTATCGTTTCTTTGGAGCTTGATTGCTTTGCGTGGAGAGATTTCATTGAGTCAGAGTTGAGCGAGTTGAGGGTTCAAGCACCAGTTGAGAGATTGATTGTTGACAGATTCAACCTTGTACATTCAGAGTTTGTTCTTGAGCATGCAGTATTATCTTTCTATTATGATTCCATTTGCTTCACTGCAATTCAGCACCATTCGGGTAGCAGCTGACACCATCATGGAAAGAATACTGCTCCTCCAACAACATCTCAACAACCTCTCGACTACATCTCAACAACATCTCAACGAACCCTCAACAAACTTTCGACAGTGTGTGGTATTTCTACATCTTCTTCGATCTGCCGAAGTTTTGTTTGCCCGCAATGGTGAATCACCAGGTGATGATTCGAGATTTGGATTGGAGCACCAAAGCTTCGAACCTGGTGGGGCGCGTGTCAAATCTCAATGCTGATGCGGCCGACTTGATCCAGGAGGTCAGGGTTACAAGGCAAGGACGCTTCTTTCCTGGAAAAATGTGCACAGCGTTTGTGCATCT